CAATCCTTTCATCGCATTCCGCCGCTTCGCCGATTCCCAGGTCTCGTCCCTCCTCAACACCGTCTTCACGCTTCCCGCCACCATCGCCAACTACAACAACGCGCACCAAGCACGTGAGCAATGCCTTTTTGGCAAGGCCGACCCAAGACAATGCGACAAGCTCCACGACATTGAAGCCGACTTCGCCGAGCTGCGCCACGAAGGCAGAGAGCTGTTCAGAGTTGGCGATGTGCAGGCTGTCTTGCGCAATAGCGAAGAGCTGATGAGGCTCGACCGCAAGGCTGACGACATAAGAATGGAAATACTTGGCAATGTGAGGAGAGGCGACGAGCAGCAGGTCGCGCGACGCGACGATGCTAGCCTGGTTGAAAAGGTAGCCAACGAGAAGGGTCAGGAGTGGGGATGGTCATGGGATTGGGGCTTTCCTCGGCCATTTGATCACGACGGCCGGAGCTCATCTGCCAACTCGGAAGAAGAAAGGTCAAGGGACTGGATGCAGTTGGAGAGGTTGCTACGGATGCAGGCAGAGGCGAAGAGGCTGGCCGAGGAGTTTAACGACAAGGCCTGGGATGACCGCGAGGCGGAAGTTGCCAGATTCAACAACTACGAGCCTAGCCCTGAAGATGGCAAACCTCGCGTCTGGTCATGGTCCAAATCATGGCAGTGGCCACCACCAGCAGATGCATCGCAGACCGACGACCCCGCATACTCTCCCCGCGCACTCGAGCAGAACCGCGACATGAACAAGGCCGGCGTACCTTGGCAGGCAGCCTACGAGGACCTGCTAGCAGAGCAAGGCGAGGTCTCACATTGTGTGATGAGGTCCGACCGACCGGCTTGGGGACCAAGGAAGATACCAATTACGCAACAACAGTTGGAGGAGACGACACAAGGGAAGCTAGAGCCCGAGTGTCCTGGCGCCATGGAGTCTGACACGTCCGACAAGTACTGGACTCATGACAAGATCCCGATCACACAACGCCAACTGGAGGAGCATATGGACCGCAACGATGCGCCCAGCTGCCCTCACCTTGGGACACACGACGAGCCAAGCTACGAGTACAGCCACGATCACGAAGACCAACATGACGATCCGCCTACGCCGAAACAAGACCGCTTCCCCTACGCCGACACAGTCAGACGTGACACATACAACACTGTTCTAGACGCAGCACACGAGAGAGATGAGGACTCGGAGACCGAGTTGGATGCGTACGAACGTATGGAGGCTGTGTCGCAACCCTCACCCGCAGTCCCCGGACCTATCTCGGTAACGTCCGCGCTCGCTGAGCGGATGAAGGACGACAAGCCTTCGATTCTCTCCACACTTACGACGACCGAGCGGACCGTTGCTTCTGACGGCTCCATTACGACCAAAGTCGTGCTCAAGAAGCGCTTCGCTGATGGTCGAGAAGAGAGCTCGGAGACGGTGCATACCCAGCGCGGCCAAGAGACCGAAACCCAGCAGCGCGATCCTTGGAGGGCATTCCACGACATCCAGCCAAGATCAGCCGAGCCAGAGACCCAAGAGCGGAAGAAGAGGAGTGGGTGGTTTTGGTCTAGCTAGACCTGCCATATGGGTGAAGGACGTTTGCACGTGGTATAAGAGTGTTGATCTATTTATGGTTGCTTGGCGAAATCTTGGGCTGGGCATGACTGTGGAATCTGCGAATGCCGCTCGTTCTTGTTGTTGATTTATGTTGCCATGTTGTTTATTTCTGGGACTTTTGAATACATAGCTGCGCATACCCCTCTCAATCAGATATAGTTCCCACTTCGCCGCTCAGCAGAGCAACTTACATCGAGTTCTTGCCGAGGAAGTGTGGCTGCAGCATCTACGTGACACCTAAATTCACATGCGGCTTTGCGACTCTGCGACTTTGCACATGATGATACCTGATTGCAGCCCACCTTGTATCACTCACAACGGGACAGGATCTGTAAGTAAGAAATGTCATAAATTCGTTAACAAAGCTAAAGTACATGCAACGCCGTCAAGGCGAGATCGGTACCGTCACCGGATCAGACACCATCCTACTATGCTGCGACACCGCAACACTCTTACTCCTTTCCTTCACACTCATCGTCTCCGGGACGATGGTCGGCGCCCTCGAGACTCCATCGTCCCAGCCACTGCCATTCGGCTCCGTCTTCTCGAGACCCCATACGCCATCCGCAATGGCACGTGCCTTGTACTTGATGATCAGCCCCACGGTTACGGGTCCGAAGATGGTGTTGAGCACAATGGCCCACACGGCGGTGATGAAGGCTTCCTTGGACAGGTACGGAGTGTTGTTGAGGCCGATCTGTACGACGAGCAGACCGATCTCACCACGCGCTACCATAGCGGAACCGAGGAGCATCGCGGGCCAGATAGTGGTGGTGAAGCATTTGCGGATCGACATACCCGGCGGTCTGCGGAAGATGGTAACGAAAGGTATGACGAGGCCGACGATGACTTTAGAGACAAGCATGAGCAACGTGTAGACAAAGCCCTTCCAGAACGCTTCTGCAGTCCAAAGATCGATAAAGGGGATGGCGAAGCCAATCGATGCGAAGAAGAGAGGTTGTAAGAGGTACTTAACAGCGTCGAGGAAGTACTTCTCGAACGTATGCATGAATGTAGGACAGATGGACGGTTCGCCCGCATCATCGTACTCGGTGGCTTCGGCAATAGAGCGCGCTTCTGCTTCCTCCGCGTCTTCGCGCGAAGGCGGGTGGAAGGGACCTGTCGGGTGCTTGGAAGGGAGGTAGGTGAGGAACGCGCCGGCCATGAAGGACCCGTAGAGGACGGAGGTACCGCCGAAGCCTGTAATGCTGAGGAAAGCACATAGCACGAAGATCATGATGATGACGTTTACGACGTGGCGTTTGCGTGTCTTGGGGAGGCGCGGCTCAATGAACTTCCGGTATAGAGGTGCGATTGCCCATTTGTTTAGTACGGGAGTGAGGATGGCGAGGAGGCCGGATACTAGTGTTGGGCGTCCGATTAGCCAGCCCAGGTTGGGGGAGTCGTCGCCTCCTAGGGCGCCCAGTTGGCCGATTACACTGAGGGATGTTAGTGATACTCTTTGTTTTGGGTAACATTGTGTCTGACCTCGCCATCACTAGACCAGATACATCATCGAATACAGCCGCGCTGACTAGTACTGTACCAACTCGGGTGTCCGCGAAGCTGATCTCTTTAGAGCTCTTGCCTAGCACAACGAATGTCGTCCCAAGGGATGTGACCGAGAGCGCAGCCCCAACGATGAACGTTTCGATTGCTCCATACCCAAAGCCGACATATAGAAGTAGGTATGTGAGGCCAATAGGAGCGACGACACCGATGGTCGCCGCAATAGCAGAGAGGCCAAAGTTCGCTTTGAGCAGATCCAACCGCACGGCCAGGGCGCCCTCAAAGATGATAAGAACAAGACCAATATACCCCAGGGCGATGAAGGCTTCCTGCCATGCGATCGGTATCATATCACCGCCAATAGGCAGGCCATAGATCAGACCGACTATGATTTGACCTATAAGGCCAGCGCGGAACACCCGGTTCGAAAGCCATTCGCCGAAGGAAAGCCAAAAGAAAAACGAAACGAGGACGAGAATCTGGATGACTACTTAAGGTCAGTGATTGCAAGACCATGTAAGAAAGTAAAGAACTCACTATTCGGCTCATGATACTGCAAAAAGCCTTCTGTCGCCGGAGTCGAAGAGTCACCAGCCATACTGAAAACAATCCTGAATGTGTAAAAAATGCGAAGATCGATTGCCTATTCCAGGCCCTACACGACGTCCACGGCATCTTTAAACAATTCTACGTCCACAGCGAGCTTATCAGCTCCGCGTCAACACATGTTTCGCACCTCGCATCCTGATGTCTTGGAGATACATGTGGCGGCCCAGCCAAGGCGAGCGCGGATGCAGGCCCGACATCTGGGCTGAGGCAAAGACAAGCTCGCACGTGCGAACGAGTAAGTGACGCGTGCCTCGCGCAGCCTTGGTGATGCCTGTTTTCTCAACGGCCTATCTCTTGGTCTGTAAGGGATGCGGCTATACTTGTGATGGGAGGCTGCCTTGGCGTTTCCGCTCCGCGCTTGGCTGGAGGCTGAAACGGGGTCTCCGCTTTAAGGCTAAACGTGAACTGTCGGAGGCGCCTTCTGGGTCTTCGGTAATGAGTCAAGCGAGGTTGCGGCGGACGTGATGGGAGGCGGTCGTGGTGGAAATGTGTGGGCGGAAACCGGGTAGTCGTCATTGCCCGTGCTAGGCATCAGTGCGGCCAACATGCCGCCTTTAGACCGTCACACCAACTTCCCCCAATGATATAGTGTATCTACGCCATGCTGAGATTTGGTCAACGCGCATGTAGTCGCTTCAAATTTCCTTCCCACATTTTCCGGATTTCGCGCTTCCAGAGTACGGAAGCGAATGCCAACGAGCTCTTCGAGGAGGAGCGCCTTCCGTTTTATAGCCATGATCAGTTTTATCCAGCACGACCTGGTGAGATTCTCGATTCTAGCTTTAAGATTATAGGAAAACTCGGTTACGGTGCATACTCCACAGTCTGGCTGTGCCGGGACATTCGGTATTTTTGGCGTTCTTCACCCCCACCCTTCAAAGTCTGATCATCCATGCACAGAGAACGAGACGCTGGCTTCGCCGCTGACTTCGTCGCTGTCAAGATCTGTACCCGAGACACCGAAAAGACTACACAGCTCAATCGAGAGCTAGCTTTTTACGAGCATGTCAGTTCTATACAATCACAGCATCGCGGCCAGGCATACATCCGCGGACTGTATGGCGAATTTGAGCTCGACGGTCCGACTGGCAAACATTTGTGCTTTGCTCAACCACCCATGCACATGACTATTCGACAGCTCCAGTATTACAACCCAGCACACAAGCTTGACATTCCGGTTTTAAAGCTCACACTAGCCAATGTGCTGAAGGCACTATCGTTCTTACACGACGAGGCTAAGGTCGTACATGCAGGTACGGCAAGATGATGCAACATGATTGAATCACCTGACAAGTTAGACATCAATCCTGGGAATATCATGTTGACTGTAAATGATGACGCTATCTTGGAGAACTTCGAGAGAGCTGAAGCAGAGGACCCGTCACCATCCAAAGTGATTGACGACACACGCACCATTTACAGATCCCGTAAGATTCCCCATCCTACAAGTGGTCTTTATGGCCAACCAGTTCTCTGTGACTTTGGAGAAGCGCGGATAGGAGATTCCCACTCCGGCTTGATTCAGCCTCAGCTATACCGTGCACCAGAGATAATTTTCCAGATGGAGTGGGGCTCCAAGGTGGACATTTGGAGTCTCGCCACGTTGGTAAGTATTCAACACTATCATAAAGAAGCCGCAATGGCTTACCCTTGATCAGGTGTGGGACTTGTTTGAAGATGAGCATCTGTTCGACGCCCGTGACACCGAGGGCAACCCATCAGGGACACATCATGTTTCCGAAATGGTTGCATACCTTGGAATGCCTCCGCTTGAATACACGCAAAGCAACCATATCACAAAGAAGGTCTTCGACAAGCAAGGTTAGTCATTGAGATCGTCCCGACATGGAGTCTGCTAAGTTTAATAGGACACTGGACGGGTGGCTCCAGGAGTGTAACTATCCCTAAGATCTCACTCGAGGAAAGAGTCTCTGAGCTTGAAGGGGAGGAAAAAGAATTGTTTCTCGATTTCATACGCTCGATGCTCAGATGGCGGCCCGAAGACAGGAAATCGGCAACTGAACTTTTGAAGCACCCATGGATGGCCGACATGAAGTAGTTGTGACAACGATCAAGCAACCATTGCACTGCGAAATCGTTCTCGTGGGGTCTTTGTATTGGCGTCGCGTGCGTGCAGGTTATCGGAAGGGGGCGAAGGGAGAAACGCGACGATGGTGGGCCCCCGGGGTCTACGCGTCCGGGAAAATGAACTAGTCTACATTCGACGGCACGCGTCTTGGAGCCTCCCTCCCCTGACATCACTGGAACTTATCAGCGCACCCGTGTACATCAACACGGGATCTTGTTCACATCGCACCGACGCGACAATCTATTCCACGCTATGATTACCGCCTTAATACCGCACGCATGTGCATGTAAGCGCCGGTCCTCGGTCTTCGCACGCTGCATTGCTGTGCCGCAATCTCGTCCCTGAGCCACCTAGGCACAGTAAAAAGCCCAACGACCCAGACAAGACCTTTTGAGCTCCTACAATCTGCGGCCAGATCCTTCGCGACTGCGCAGGATCCTCTCAAGATATTTTGAGCTGTGTCGCGACACCTCTTCATCGCCACCTACGCCGCCATGCGTGCATTGCTCCGAAAATGGCAGCGGAAAAAGCCCGAACCGACGACGACAATCAATCAATGCCCAGCATCCAAATTCATCCCGCGACTTGAATTACCGAGGGGTGAGCCCCTCGATCAGAAGCAGTGTGTGCTTTTCGGGAAGCTGTCGGCCGAAGTGCGACTGCTCATCTACGAAGAGGTCCTCGCCGACCCGCAGCGTCTGCTGCACGTTTTACACGTCACCCCAATTGGGGGTCGGCCTGCAAAGCTAGGTCATTGGCGTTGCGAGACCCCACAGAGCGAAAGCTTGGTATGGCAACATGCATGTTTCGGCTTATGGAATGAGGGCGAATTCCAGCACGTTCGTGACGCATACTACACCAACGGTGATCTTCTATCGCTACTTCTTACTTGCCGTCTGATGTAAGTGGCAGCCGCTCAAATCACTTCTCAGCTACTTACTAGAACCCATAGCTACTGTGAGGCGGTGGAGGTCCTGTACAAAGCCAACTACTTTAGTTTCAGAGGCATGACAGGAACATCCAGTTTCCGTACGCTCGTAACCCCGGCCGATTGGAATATGCTCCGTAAGCTACATATATCCACGACTTTCCTGACTCCGAAGTACGGTTTGATGATCACACAAAACAACGGGCTTCGATTGCCTGGAGAGAACTATTATGAATGGGAGAGAGGTTGTCACATACTCGGTTACTTGCTTGAGCTACGCGTCGTCAGGTTCGAGATCACGTTCATGCACAAACATCAACTCCATGACTCCGATCCTCTAGTCATAGATCAAGAGCCCGTGATATTTGTTCTTGGCGCATGCAAGCTGATAAGGGCTCAAGAGTTCCTCGTGGAATTGAATCTGGAACTACCTCACACAACGATACAAAGACTTGGTAGTATCCCATTCACCATATTGCGCCACTCGAAACAATATGACTGGAAGACCTTCTCGTCATGAATCGCCCAAATCCGAGTTTCATGACATGCGATCACACGGGAAATGTCTCTCCTCTTCGCCCAACCGTATCCATCGCATACAGTTCCAAGCTGAGCCACCATCCTCTCGATCAAGTCACCGGAACAATACGGCCTTTGCTGTCGACCTTGCGGGGGTTTTGCGGGTCTCTCATCAGTTTGCAAGCTATAAATCGATCAGCAGTCAGTCGTTGCATGGGAATCGGCTCACGTACCGCTTCCGAAGAGAGCTATTGTATCAGCATTATTGTCTGGTCCACCGGGGGTATTAAGCTCGCCGCCTTTACGCGCAAGCTTTCCCACACCCTCCCAACCGTACGCTGCCCAGTTGAATGGCCTGAGGATGATATTGGGTGTAAGTACGTCTTTGATGCCTTCGACCACACCTTTTTTGGTCCATTCTTGGAAAGCACCGCGAGCATGTGTCATCTCATGCAAAAGAACTTTGTCCAACAAGGAGTAGGCATCTAGGATTGTTGTGATTAGTCTGCGTCCTGGAGTTCTCAGAGCACAACGTACCAATTTGGTTCAGGCCTAAGCCAAAGGTCATGCGGTTCGATGCTGCCCTATCGATCATCTTTCTACCAATCTTTGTTCGCTTTTGGACGTCGTCGGCGGTTTTGTACTCCTTTTGTTTGATCCAGTCCACGAACCATGAGCAGAGCTGAATCTGTGCTGGCCGTCTAACGGTTGTCGTTTTAAACACCCCTGTGTTCGCTATTTCTTGTTCAATCTGCTTCGCCGGAGGGTTGGCTGACACTGCTAAAGCAATGTTATCGAGTATCGAACCTCTGCATTGTTGCTCGTTGAATTTCAGTTTGTATCCGTTTGCTATGCTCGGTCAGTCTATGGCTATAACATTACCAACTATCACGCGTACTGGTATCTTCCCAGAGGTCCTTGTGCCCTTCAAGTTGTACCCAGCGATCGTAGTGACAGAAGATGATCTGGAAGATGATATATCAGCATAAGCCAAGCAAAACATTCCGGGTTCTCTTACCACATCCGAAGCGCTGACAGTTGCGTCGCCCGTCACCTCTGTTGACATGTATGTCCGAATGTTTCTCAACAATTTGATGGTCTTCTCTAGCTTGCCTTGCTGGAGAAGCTGAGCGGGATTTGCTCCTTCCCTTGCGAATAGGAATCCAACCAGGTCCTGCGCATCAGAGCTCAGGGGAGGTTGCGTCAGAGTCTCGTATGCTGCGGATACCATCTCGAAAGCCGAAGTCATCGCGTTACGGACGTCCACCGTAACACCTTTGGCATCACAGGACTGGTCGATTTTGTATGCTTGAACAAAAGACGACATGATAGCGTGGAACGCTAAAAAGAACGAGAGGTGTAATCGGATGTTGAACATCATCAAGTTTGTTGGGCAATCAGATTGGTTGTTTAGAACGTGGAATAGGAATATATTATCTGCGACGAAGCCTTTGTACAAGCTGCTTAAATACGCACATTGTTCTGGCAATACCCTTGACATGCCATGGAGCGATGCAGCAGCGAGACCCGCGCCGCTGCCATCTCGCCCCAAATCGCATGTCGTTCTATTCTCAATTATTTGACACGATGAAGCAGCCTCACGGCCGCCCCTCATGTTGTGTGCTTCGCACGTCGGGTAGTAAGCACCCACGCTGCTATTCGTGGGGGCGCTTCACGTGGCACAGTTCGCTTCCTTCCCAGTCGTGATGAACAACAACAGTTTTTGATGCATCATACAGGAGAACCAGCCCCCAGCCCCAAGAACTCGTCAAACTCGCGACACGTTGAATACATTCCTCGGCCCCAGCCGCTCAACTTCTGCACTCCGCCACATATCGAGCATTAGCGAGGCTTCCCAACTTTCGCGTGCCTGGTCAATGGTGTTTCATGTCGACTTCCCCAACTCGAAATGTGTCCATAGTCGCCGCCTGGTTCTCGGCCACCTTTTAATTCGAGACCCTTCTTCTTCGGGTGCGAGTACCAATAGCTTTGCCTCAAGGGGAATGTTCGCAGACGGGGTCTGTCTTTGCTGTGCCTCTCCGGACATCGCGATGCCGCTTGGGGCGATGAGAAATCGACATGGTGTCTCGACCGGAATATTTGGTTGCTAGATATGGCGCTGAAACCGTGAGATCTCCATACATAAGCTCCACCATTTGCAAGAAATGACCAGTAATCAAACTATTTCTCCACAGTCGCAATGTCTTTCCTCAACTTGCTCGCGCTATCCCTCACTTTCCGAATCGCTTCAGCTCGAGTCTTGGGAACATTTACTGGACTACCGTATCCAACGTTAAAGCCTCCTTCGCGTAGAGAAGACAGCTCTGCTCTTCCAACGTTCACATTGGGCCCCGAGGATGCGTACTTTCCAAGCACGGTATGTATCGATTCGCTTTCCTTTTGAACGATGCTAAACTCTACACACAGGCCGCTGGCCCGGAGCCATCGGGATCCGAAGTCCAGGTGTATCCTACCGGGGTCTACGACACTTTCCCAGCTGACGGGATCACTGTCGCGTTCGGTCCGGAGATACACGAACAGATGAAGACTGTTCGCGCCGAAAGCTGCAACAATAAACCAGCTGAAGAATGTCGCGACGCAATCAACGGTGTGATACAGAAGACTGGGGTATCTACTCACGTCAAACGCTTCATTCCCGTTGCACCTTGGGTTCTCTGGCTTCTGGCAGGATGGGTGTTGTCCACAATAGCCTACGAGTACAACCAAGACCTGGGCAAAGCGATAAAGCTCCCCCCAGAGGATCTCCGGCAGATTCAATCGATGGCCGGTGCTCAAGAAATTGCCATCGTGACGGCCGCCGATGCCAGCGCTATCGCAGCTACTTTAACAATTCGACCCCCCGCGACGACTACGCCGACGTAAGCAACCAATATCTGATCATGGTCTGCAAAATACTGATAGTTTCTCTAGGAGTCTTATCAGCATCGAAACGCTCACTACAGCCAGTGACGGACACGAAGCCGGAGATATTGTGTATCATATTCCCGAAGGAACGGCCGGACGCATCCAGGACTTCTTGGGGATGACCGGCCTCCAAGAGACCCAGCAGATCTGTCAGGGCCAGGACCTGAAGCGCGCTGATACTACTGAGGAGTGCATCGAACGTATTTTACGCCATGCTATGGACCTTGCGGATACCGGCCCAGACAACCTAATGGCTTTGGCTCAGGCGAATATTCCGATTGAACCAGCTGTTGGTCAAGCCATTGGGTTTCCGATTCCTGATATCTCCATCGGCGAATCCGTAGTTATCGTTCGGCTATATCGCCAGGTCTTCACTGCAACCGCGCCAGCCCCTCAGCCTGACCTGAATTGGGACCCCTCCGTCCTCGCTAGAAGTGCGCTAAGTCTCGCCATCGCTGCACATGCGGCTATGCTCGTTGGTCAGACTCTCCTCGACATATTCGTCAGCAAGAGTGATATAATCACTGATCTAAAGGAGGAGGACCTAACATGTGCTAAAGATCTCATATGCACACTCGATGACTGTAAGGGCCAAGACGAGGTCACTGAACGTCTGAATTGGATGGTCAGTTCAAGTACCCCTTCGACGCCCATATGTCGCACGGTATGTAACATAACCCACGTGGTCGCTTCGCTGACAGTAGTGCACGCAGCCCAAGAATTTCGGATGCAGATGCGAAGTTGTCGAATATCCCTACGTGTACGAGGTGCCGAAAGGATACATGGATGCGCAATACGCATGGCTCGAAGAGCTCATCAAGCGAGCCGAAGAGCCTGTGCTTGAAGCTGAATGCAAGAGCAATCTGCAAAGGTTTGATGAAGGGACGTTAGGTCCCCCGAATCCGGGTTCTTCACAGACCTTTGACCCCAGATCCAGCTTTGAAGGGTAAGCCGACTCACAAAGTCCAGCCCAGTACAAACTGCTAATTGTTACCCAGCTGGATTGACACTGCATGTGACAAGTTTGATAACCGGCTCGACAAAGAATGGCACTGGTCATACGACGACATAACTGGATTTGTCTTCAGCCTCCGATGGAGCCAGATACCGGACGGGGTTTCCGACTGCCCATTTGACTGCAGGGCCGCATTCGCGCCCTTCCTAGAATCTTCTGACTGTAAGTCTGGAAAGCCGAACTGAGCGTCGACTTGCGCTGACATGATGGGCAGGTGTGAAAGACGAAGGCTTCTCGAGTTCTGGTAAAATCGTGACCGAGTGCGGAAGAGCTTCGTTGTATACACGCACTACAGCATGCACCCCTGAGCATCCGGAGTGTTGCGACACCTTCGGATCTGACTGCGGAGTGATCGACGAGTGAAGCCTGCGAGCTTGCAGGGTGAGTGCCTGCTAGGGTATTCTTTGGGAATGTAAAAGCCGGTATCAGGGTCGGGTCTTTATATGTAATTCGGAATGGGTCTTCATGCCGGTGCGCTTTCTGGAACGGAATGGAGCTGGTCTTTGCAAACCTCTTTGTTGGCCAGTGACGTCATCTTACGCGCTAGAACACGGTCATGACGCCACAGGCGTTTACGCGTTCACGCGAGATATCCATCCCCAGCTTTGACACAATCATTGCACCAATTTATTCTCTCATCGCACCCTTTCGTCAGCGTGCGACAACAACGCGTCGAAAGTTATCGGACGCCGCGGACTTCAGTCCATCGGCAGCAAGATCGGCCTTCGAGATGGACGATGACGGTCTTGTGCACTGCATACATCAATGTACCAATTCCATTACAACGGGCTGAGATCGATTGGTGGCATGGTTGCTTGCACCCCTCAACGTTCCATGGGTAGAGCTGTGGATCGCGAGCGCCGCGCAATCTTGCCCTCGCTCTTCGGCAAAGGTCCAGATTTCTCCTGGCTGCACTCAGAGTAAGTTATCGTAAGTGTGGCTAATATGCTGGGAATACTTCCATTTAGAATACTGCAAACATAACCCTTCGAACGCATATTGCAAAGCTATGGCGGCTCGAGGTCCACCAGAATCGCTGCAGCCCCATGCGCGGCATCATCTCACATCGCTACCCTATCGGCTACTGGAGAAGTTACGCAGGTGCACGCCACGAACGATACCTAAGGCATCAGTATACACACTTAACTGGCTTCGCAGCCAAAGGACACGACCGCGCAACAGCCATGTATCCGCACGGGATCGCCACGATGAAGACATCTCTCGAAAGAATCAATTGAAAGACTGTTCCAACCTGATCTTGATGCTACCGAGGGAACTACGCGATCAGATCTATGAGTACGCTTGGCAAGGAACGCATATCTACTATCAGGACGACTTTTGCCTCGCTGGCGCTGTCAACGCGCGGTATCTAGACTGCGATGAACTTTGTGAACAGATCCAGACCCTTCCAGCATGGGTGATCATTCATCCTCAGATTCAAGAAGAGGCGCTTCACTTCTTCTATCAAGCGGCAGAGTTCAGTGTTGGTGACGGCAATGAATACACGACCCCGTTTCACGGATCGACATTGCACATGTCCAGCATCTTGTCGATCGAGAAGGCGCGCAATATTACTGTGTTCGGCATTACCGGGTTTTATGAACCGAATAGAGATACAGCGTCTACCGACTCTTTCGCAGGCTCCTTGGATAACGTAGGAGACTCTCCGGGCTCATTTATAGACTTTGTGGGTCTATTCGAAGACTCTGTGAACATCACGCTGAACGATACTCAACGAAAACTCATTCGCCATGTCACAGATAATGACGCGGTTCACCTTCTACGTCTTTCAACACGACTTCAGCTACGCTCTGGTGCAATGACTCTCATCGAGGAAGAAGCTCACCTCCAGGCGTTACAAGACTTGCAGGAAGCGTCGTATGGTATCAGCCATGTACAGATGCATTTCCAATTGGCATGGCAACCTTCCCAATCCAGCTTAATTGGAGAATTCCGAGTCGCGAACTATCATTTCGTAGTCAGCTGCTGGATCTTGGCAAAATCCATACTTGTCCCGCCTTCAACATATTTTACGCCTGCCTGCTCCGAAGACAAGGAGTCTGAACCGAACGCTGTGGGGCGGGAATCAGCATTTAGAGATACCATGGATTTGCCGCATTGGAAAGACAACAATGCCAACCTTGAGCAGCAATCGCAGGGGATCATGACGACGGCTATGGCATATCGCCGTAGCGGTGTCGGGCTAGAAGATGGTGCTCTATCGGCGCTCGCTCCTGTCTCCTCCAATTAGGCATCGCTGCTAGAAAACGAGAGCCTTAAGGACCCGGGAAAGCAGCACCGCTTGGGTCACAGCACTATGACAATATCTTTATCGACCTCGATACATCGCGAGTGGAGGCTGATTTCTCTACTGGCTCGCTGTCGGCTTTTCCTTGTACTTACACTCTGGTTGTCTATATTTAACAGCACAGTTACACCCTGCGCTAGACACATCACAAGCTTCAGGCGCCCCGTTCCTCCCACCAAGCCACTGTAACGAACTTGTTTCTGTCACTTTCGACTCGAGCGTCGCACTCACACTACATTTGAATTGCCTATATGCCTTTACACGAACGCGCTATATCAGAGAAATCGAGAGAATCCTACCCTATTTAAAAAACGTCTTGTCCACATATCGGCTCGCCTGCCAGCTTCTGACATCGCTATCAATCATGCTCGAGCATTTCGTACCCAGGCACGTCCCGCCTCTCCTTCTCGCCAGCATCTGGACAGTCGGCGGGCTGATGTCTTTTACTCATGGGCCCAAACAAGCTATCCTGACATACGGTCTCTCCAAAAGCATCGCAACCTCGAAGGCAGCGTGGCCTCTGATCAAGATCGAAGGTTCGCGCGTTACCACTATTGGTATGGCCATCTGGAGAATTTATCTCGGGGGCCATTTGGAAGCCATGGACACACTACTTGCTTGCATTGGATGGATGGCAATCATTGACAGTGTGGTATGTGCGAAGGAAGGGTCTCCAGGGTCTGCTAGAATGCGTGCGACGTATCAGGGTGTGGTTGCGCTTTGGGGCTTGCTGGGTATGACTTCGGGAAAGTACTTCTAGGTTGAGCTTCGGAATTAGGTGATGCGCGTGCGATGTATGGCGTTGTCCATCAAAAGACGCGCTGCTGGCTCATCTCTAGTATACGACGGGTCTTCTTAAGCATCCTGATAGATCTCTTCAACCAAACCTTGCCGTCTAACTCTTTTCCAAAGTACAAACAAAGTACCTCGTCCCTGAGTTCGCGATCTGACGCCAATACCCAGCCGTAATGAGTATCAATCTCCTGATACCGCCTTTCCATGTCTGCTACTATCTCCCGCACTCGCTCAACTGACTCGCGTTCTTCTGCTGTACACGGCGTAGCTTCCACAAAGCGGTGGCATAGCGAATCGACTTCCTCGAAACAGCCAAGTATCTTTGCCTTCAGCTCACTGATCTTGTGGACTAGATCTTCAAATTCCGAAGAAACCTCTTTGCGCGGTTTGTCAGTTTGATATTCCGAGTTCATGATTATGCCTAGGGGTAGATGCGTATGACCAGCTCTGTAGTAAATAATGAGGTTTCAGATGTTGAGTCGCGCCATCGAGGCATACGCAGTGTTCTTAAATAAGCATGTGACAGTAGAAGAGTGCGACTAGGAATGCTTCACATGCATTTCAGCGCTATATCAACATTTCAATTGCTCGCCTCGCCTCGTCTGCTGACACCATGGAATATCAAAAGACTAGTTACATGTACACTCTTCGATTCTTGAATATCAGCTGCTGAATGATTCCAGTCAAATCAATCACCAGACATTCAACTTGAGTCTTCGTCTTCACAGCCAACAGCCTTCCGCATTCTTTGAAACATCTGTTCCAGACCACTCATGACCACCATAGCGCTCTCTTTCCTTTTCCAAGCCTTTAGCAGCTGAATTTGATAGTGACGCTTCACTTTTTCGTCCTCGTCGCACTTCAAGCCGTATAGTAGTGTCTCTATATCTTGCTGTAAGATCCAGCCGGAAACGGACTCTTGGAACCGCTTGATTTCGGTGTGGATCGCATCGAACGTTTTGTGTATTTCCTTGTGCTTCTTCTTGCGAAGCTTCTCGTTACTTCCACTCGTTTTCCCTTTGCGGATCTCGCAGATAGTCCAGAATGGGCCCGTGTCGGTGCGCGCCAGCTCTCTCATATAATGACCAAAGCTCTCGTCCGTGAAGCTTTCTTCCAGAGCCAAAGTAACAGCAGTAATATTTGTTTTCCGAACTATTCTCCTGTTAGTAGTATATCGACATTGTACTTTGACGGCGAACTTGCAGCTAGGATATAGTTCGCCTCCTGGGGTCAGCGTTAATTCAGAGACCTCCTTCAACTTCTTCTCAATCTGCTCGAGCTCAGTGGTCAATTCCTCTTTGTAGTTTTCGTGTTCATTGAGGACCTTCTTGACTTGCGCGAGCGTGAGAGAAGCGTCATAGGTGTTCATCTGTGCCACGTTGATGAAGAGCTCCGAGTATTTGATAGTATGTGAAGGAGTTGTAAATATCCTCCAGAAGTTTTCTATTGGGCTATGACTGTAATGTTGTCCTGTGCGCAAACAGTCATACCCAAGCTGTGACCATGAGGACGTGACGAGCCGGCATTGAGTCAAGGCGCGTCACGGCCAACGTCAACATGACCCGACAAAGAAGAGAAGCATGGACACCGTCCCTTACAGAAGTCTCGCTTACACCGCCTTCAACAAAAAGCAAACACGTCGCTGTTGTTGTTGTGAAGTCTTATCTACTGTTGAGGCGCCGTCGTCCCGAGACGATGCATGCTTCTACAAAACCACGGCTTGCGCGTCCACCCGAAATAGGGCAGCAAACTCATCACCGCCGTCATGTCAACGTCACACCCAACACCTCGGGCAACACTTCTCTCTACCACCTTTTGGGAAATCCTTCCCTCACACTACGACAAGATCATAAACCGCTGGTCAAAAATCGCACACCTACATCACGAAGCAAAGTCTGACATCCTCGCTACCGACCGCGCGGGTGCCATGGCCTCTATTAAAGCCGAACTGGAGATGCTGGAGCAGGATGTGGAGCAATATCGAAGCCTCGTGAACAGCATCGATATCACGGATATCGCAGGCACTTATGTTGTGGGTGGGAAGTTACCGCATCGCGCATTGGAAATCGCCAAGGAAGACAAGCAGGATTTAGAAGAGAGTTTGGAGATGATCGAGGAAAAGGTGAAAGAGGTCAGGGCAGATGTGAGGTATGGGTTCGAAGAGGAAGAGTTCGACTGGTCGATGTGTCCCTAGAGGCCGCATTCCACTCCAGGTGTCGAGGTTTGAGCTGCAAACCAAGTTCGAGACAATGTGAAACTGACAGTATGGAATGTCAGTGGGCTAGCCGTGGAATAATAAACAGAGTACGAATAAACGTGATTGTCATCCTACAATGATATCCCTCGACTCACATATTCGGATGTGTGATTATCCACCCATGATGTCTAAACCAGCTTCTTCCTTCACGCCCTAGTGTACAAAAGCAGGTCAGCAAGAAAAGATATGCGAAACATGTTCAAAACCACAGTGGCAAAAGTCAGCACAATGAGCGACGCCCATAACCCTCAAGACCGCCAACTGAGAGACCTGACATCCATATTAATGGACCTCGAGGATCGAGCCGACCGCGTATTGACAAGTCTTTACTTGCTCAAGCAGTTAGACGAAGAATTTGCAGCCATCGAGTCAGTCACAAAGCAGCAAGACTGTGTTGATCTTATCCGCTCACACACCGAGAAAATGGAGGCAAACCTGGAGGTCATGGAGCGGAAAAGCGAGTTGCTAGACGATGAACGGATCTGTGACTGGATCAACAACAGCAGAGGTGACACAGAAAAGGAGAACAGGAACGAGTTTCTCAATCGATTAATCAAGAAGATGGACGGTTTGCAGAAACAGATGGCGGAAGGGAGGAGGAGTTATGTCGGATAGGGGCATAGCGAAAGATTCGCAGGTGCGAAAATGCCGTGTTGTCATCAAGGATATAGCAGCTCTGCCAGATGCCATGTGCAAACTTGTTGCTTCTGCACTTCCTTGCTGGGAGCCGTCAATGGGTGCCGCTGAGTGCGCTACTCGAAGGAGCATTCCCACTGGACAGGCTCTGGCAGTGGTGCTGTGTTGGGAATGTTGCCGCTCTCTCGAAACTCAGCAATCTTCCTTTCTCCGTCTTCCTCTTTGACTACCGCGAATGCTGCGTTTGTGAAGTACAAGTCGCGTTTGACGCGGGTCTGGAAACCACCAGCCCACCCGATCATGTACACGAAGCCACCTTTATCGCCATTTATGTTGGGCACACCAAGGGTGTTGATGGGGCCATGCTTGAAAGGCGCGAAGGCCATACCCAGTGTCGCGTTGAAGATTGTATAGAGTCGCCGCGAGCCATCGAAGTCGTAATGCGTGTCGTTGAAGGTGAACTTGATGTCTTTCGAGAATGATTTCGCATGGCCGTTGGGCCAGTTCGTGTTCGCGGGGTATGGATAGAATCCTGTTCTTCTATCAGTATGATGAAGCCTTAAGCATATTATACTTAGTACGTACCATTGACAGCGCATTCTAACCAACTGCTAAGCTGAACGCTCGCATTTGCTTTTGGAGAGTCGGCCAACGAGCAAGGATCGATTGCTCCAGTCAAGAATTTGGGCGTGTTCGAGTCTAGTACCTCTTGCGGCGAGATATCGAATGCTGCGATAGATGCGATCAGACCGCATGCGGTGGCTTCAATTACGTCAGTTGTGAGCAGAACCGTGATTACAGGCCTCTTACCAAGGAACGGGAGGTAGCGCATGATGTTAGTTGTTATGACCAGAAAGATACAAGACCGAGGAGTGTTGATCAATGATCAGATCTGTTGTGCGCCATACTTATAAGTAGACGGTGACCTCGTTGCCTGCAGTCAAGGCTGACGAGGCTGACGGGCTGAAAGCGCAATGGGTGCAACGTTAACACAAGACAGGCAAGTGACCGGGGCGATGGCCGGCTCAGAGCTGAGTGGCTCCTCACCTGTTTGCAACATAGCGACCAATCAAACGAGAGAGCCTGGTATCATGGACTTGATGAGGAGGATGGAGGTCGAAGGTATTAATTGGTGCTGTCAGCTACGAAGCTATCGGAAGCTGCCTTCCGTGTCGATGCGTCCCGCGTCATTTTCGCGCCATCGCGGCCAGAGCTCCAGGCCGTCATCCTACGCAGCGCGTCCAAAGAAAGAGCTCTTCCCAAATAGCCCACCCACTCCTCTTGGCTTCTTGCCCATCTCAATAGTAGCCCTCTTATTGACGACCGCGAAACCACCTGTCTTTATGGCTTTCGCATTTGGATCAGTCTTGAATGCGCCGCTTGGGGGCGCAGCGCCTATGGGCGTGGGCGGCGTGTTGGACATCTCAACAGCCTCTCTCTCCGCCCCGGACATCTCGGCGATCTGAGACGTTTGCGGCATCTGCGCAGGCATCCACTCTACTCTGATCGACTCATCGCGACTAAGCTTCTGGTCGTCAAACCACAGCTCGAAGCGGATGTCTGCGGGTCCGATCAAGACGCGTACCGAGTACTCGATGCGCAGATAGTGCTTCTGCAACGACCAGAAGTGCTTGTTCTTCTCTTGGAACTTTTTCTCATCCGCTGCAGAGAGATCTGAATTTATCTCGCAAAGGATGCGCGTGTCTGCGAGCTGTCAGAAAGCTGTTCACGGGTACGAGTGGAGCGGTCCAGCTTTTGTACACATACATTGGTTCATTTGATCTGGCAAGATGGCCGCATCCAAGTCACTTTCGATGACAGTCGTCGGAAATGCCCTTCTCGGATCGCCCGGGTCGACCTTCTTGATGAAGTTGTGCTCGATCGGTTTGTCCACGCTTACTGGCGCGCCCTTCTTGACGAACCACGCTATCGACTGTGTGATGTATAGCTTGTTGTTCAGTGGGTCTCGAACAAGCTCCTTTCCTTGATGCTCAGGGTTCTTCTTGTCATACGCAATCTTGCACACAGTGCCATACGACGCTCGACAACAACGCCATCCGAGGACCGATCGTGATGTCAAGATCTTTCGCATACGATCGCTGACGAGACCCTTGCACACAGCGAGTTGAGGGTCAGGCGCTATGCTCACGGAGATTGACTCGGCGTTCGGGAAAGAGGTGCGCGCATAGTACTTTCGCAGCTGCGATTGCACATATGCGCTATTGCCTAATCCACCACTGAGAACAAGATGTGCTACATGCTCTCTCGGAAACTTCTGAAAGAGCGATTGCAGCTGCGTGTCGATGAGCTTGAACAACTTCGCAATTTGCTTATCGAAGAGGCGCTGCAGATCTTGCCGTTCAAAAGTCATCTCGCCGTTACGAATTCGAACTTCCGGATCAGAGTTGCTGTACGTTTGCGGAACACGTGGAATTCCTATACTGAACAACGGTGTGTCGTCTGGGGCGCCATACTCACACTTCACGGCTTGGAAGTCTCGACTTTTCATCATCTCCCATCCGGCATCCGCGGGGTCGACCGGTAGAGGATTTGTACTGTGTGCGAGCGTCAACCGATGCATCACCAGCCTCTCGAACTCATAATCGATCGCAGCGGATCCGATGGTCTCTCCAAACACAACGTCCATCTGCTGAAGATCGATAGCCTGGTTGACCGTGCCAGTGACTTTCAGCACGCTAAGATCGGTTGTCCCACCTCCGGCGTCACAGACTAGCAAGACATCGTTCTCGCGGAAAATGCCTGGTGCTTCAGTGGACACATGTACCGCAGCGGCTTCGGCTTCCGTAAGACCTATCGCCACTTCGTGGTGCGGATGCGTCCCATAGCCCGCCTCTTTCACCAGCCGTTTGAAGTTCTCCACTGTTGGCATTGGAGCCCATGTGGTCGGCACGCTGAAGATGAACTCAATTCTAGCCTCTTCCCAGCCAATGCCAGAAAGTTCTCCGCCAAGCTTGAACGACAGGTACTCGTACATCTTTCGCAGATAGTCGCCATACCACTTCTCAACCTCCTGTAGATTTTCGGGTGCGCCTTCTGGATCTTCTATCTGCTTTCGGTGGAGCTTCTCTGGATCGAGGCATGTCTTGAACCACTCCTTGTACTCCTTGTCATCGGCCGCGGTCTCTGCAGCGGTCTCCGAAAGAAAGCCCCATGATGACGGATCTTTGGAGCCAATTGGGTATACGACCACCGTTGGGACTTTGTTCTCGTTCGCCTGGAATCGTCCAGGCCACTTCTGCACCCAGCGGACAGTTTCGCTGCCTATGGAGAGGTTTACATATGCCACGCCGGTACCTGGAGAGATGTATCAGCCGCGGACTGGTGTGATAAGGAGCACGTGATCCGACGCAGCACACTAATCCGAATTGGGAATCGCCTCCCCACGTGCCATTCCTCAGCCTCACCAGAACTTACACGTCATCCCAAGGTCTACACCAACGATCATATGCGGTCGCTCGTTTCGCTCCATCTTGTCTCGTTGTCGGTGACGCGGTCTTTGTTGTTGCCTTCCCGCCTGATCACGTATCTATAAGATGCGGAGACGATGCAGGTGCCTTGAGGCGGCCCCTATGTCTCAGCCTTGCGGCACAGCATCTTTTCGACCGATCACAACACGCGCCATTTCGGCCCCCAAGTATTTTGAGCCTAAAAATACGCATTTTATGCATGCCGAGTGCGTCTTGGGGGCCGCAACGAGGCACTTCAGGGAGACTGCATAAGACCGAATGGTTGGCTAAACTATCTACCTTTCGGCCTCAGTCCGTTTCGCTTGCATTATTTGGGAGGAACTGTGATAGGACTAACATTATTGCCAGCGCCAAACGAGGTGACACCCCTCTTTAGTGGCTGCAACATAGGCCGTGGTACAGCACAGCCGGTAATCGCTAAAACTCTCTACGATTCCCACATGACAGGCTAACTTCGCCCAAGTTGCTCAATCACCCGAGATCTGACTGGGACCTCTTCTACCTATCTCTTCATCATTCTCGTACTAGAATCTCCGTTTTCTCTGCGAAAGCTTAACTGACAAGAGGCGGGCGGTCTTACATACGGAGCACAACAACTCATCTTCGGAATGACGGATCAAAATCAGCATACGCCCAGCTCCAGCTGGATTCATGTAAACATCACCACCCCTCCTGAGGCTCCTGCCGCGACAGCGTATCCTCTCCCGTTACAATTGGACGGGGCGCCAGTCGCGACAATACAGGTCCTTCTTCCTCCTGGGAAAGGTTTTGTCTGGTCCTCAGTCGTGGGTCTGCCACCAGGCCAGTCACCGATCCCGCAAACTTTAGGGGCCGGTGCAACCGCAACGGTCGACGGAATTCTTATTTCGCTCGACCCAAAGGGATCAGACATTGTTTTCCAAAGGTCTCCATCAGTCCCCGCTCAGACCGCAACATCTACACTATCTCCAAGCCCGGACGTACCTGCTCCGACAAGTTTGCCAGTGACGCCTGCTCCAACAAACCCTCCGGCAACTGGCACCAGGCCAACGAACTCTGCTTCCTCACCACCAGGTGTCGCTGTTTTACCTCAAAGTAAAGACCCAGGGCTTTCCACAGGTGCCATCGCCGGTATCGCAATCGGCTGCCTTTTTGCCGGTGCATTGCTCGCTGGAATCATCCTGTGGTTCTGCTGGCGCAAAAAAAGACAGCCAAAGAATCATTATCCTCAACCAGATACGTATGCGTTGGCTTCGCAGGAGAAAGGGTTCTCCGCCAACACTATACCGTTAGCCGGAAAACGATCATCTGTAGCTGCTTTGGGTGGTGGACTTCCTCAGCCTTTGGAAGACAAAGCCATCTCTGGCGATGTCTCGAAAATAAGCAATGCCATCAAGAATCACGTCCAGAGTTACTACCACACCAGCCGTGTCAACCCTGGTCTCATCGATTATGAGGACCTACACGCACTAGGACCAGGTCTACCAGTCTCGGTAGGAACACTCACTACATTGATTGGAAATGCTGCAACCCGAGAGATTGCGCTAAGGTTCATTATCGCCTGGGTCATCGTCTCGAAACTTCAACCCTCCAAAGATCCCTCAAAGAGCCTCTTGCCGTCCGAAGTCGCGCAATGTTACCAAGCTGTCGCAACTGGAGATCGTGGCTATCAAGGTATGCGGGACGAGTTCCTTCGTCTCCTAGTATAGAAGTACTGACTTTTGTACAGCTCAAACATCATTGATGGCGCGCTGGCGGGTCATGACTGCAGAGTTGATGCAGGCTAGCTACATTCGCAATCCCTTCGGTCCTTCCGACAGTCGACATGCAAGTATACAGGCAACGCTTGCAACATTAGACAACGTTCTGCAGCCATACGCGGACTCTCGCATGAACAATGGAGAGCGCAAGCGGAATCTTGAGGAAGTGCTGAAGCGGGCTGCGCTTTTCGCTTTCACGCTGTTTTCCCAGCCTAGCGCATGGGAATTCGAATGGCAGGAGGAACAAGGTGTCACCTCAGGGGACTTGTGCATTTTCCCCGCTCTTGTGCAAGTAGCGGATGAGGCTGGTAATCCAGTCAGTCCGCCGCGGCCTTTCAGCGAGGCTGTGGTGAGACGGTTGGATGCATGAGTCGGTGGCTCATGCAAGGAGACCCTCGCGTGCGACTGTGCTCACAGGTAGAACCTGTGCCACCTTCAAGAAGTTTCATCTTGCGGAGGCCTTTAGGTCTCACGCTGTCACAGTGATGGCCATAATGCTATCGAATGAATTTAAGCTTAGGATGGTGCTTACATCTTCATTTCGTTGTCGAACAGGAGAAGGCCATTCGCCACGACGCTTGCACCTGCGATCAAGAGGGTCACTCACCACGCTCGAGATGCGAAGGCTTACGCGAAACGGCCAATCGGCTAGACCAGGTCCTAGCCTGATCTCGGTTGCGCTTCCCTCTTCAGAACCCGCATCTTATGGGGGCCAATATGGAATGTGTTTTGGCCCCCATTGGGGCGTAGTCCATGCAATCAGCATCCTTGCGGCGTAGCCCAATAGCGAGGTTTGGATCGAAGACCAGTACCTTATAAGTAATTTATACCAAATCCGGCGAGACGTCCCATGCACATTGGCATGATTATGCTGTGCGGCGTGAGACGACAACGCTCATGACTCTGCGGTGCGGTGCCCGCGGCTGAGTTGTTGTTCTGCGCCCCCAACCAACACTTTACCGCTACATCGGTGCCGTGATCGACTGATAGCTATCCCATGTGTAGCTGTTAGCAAATACTTCCATCGGACAGGCCGACACACGAAACTGGAACACCAGCACATCCGCACCGGCTGTGTCTATTTCGAGCGAGTACTGCGTCATTATCTGCGGGGTTTGTCCTGGTGTACCTGGCGCATGTCGCCTGCTACCATTGCTAAACCCATGCGCGCTACCAGCTACTTCCAGACTCTGTACAGCAATAGTACAATCAGCTTGAAGTAATACGAAGGACGCTCATGCCAACGTTGACTTCGATGTTGCCCACTGCTGGCTTATTCCTACCGGAAACACTGCATCGGGCTGACCTCCCCACGCCAGCGTCTACGGAGACCGAAGGAACGAGGCTGAAGTACTTCCAACGCAAGATCGGGCGGCCGAAGCAGGAGCCCAGGAACTCTGAAGACCGGCGGCCATCAATTGCTATTCCGAGGGAAACGCCCGATGACATCTCATGCGACTTTCCAGCGATACCGACTACTTACTACTTTGCGGACTATGTCCTCACCACCGAGAAGGCTTCTGCGGATACCATCGCTTTCGTGAGCATCATTCAACAAGTGCGACAAGATATCGATGAGGCGACGCGCCTTTTCATCTCATCTGCGGTTTCGAATTTCCTGGATGCTTATCCAAATAAGCGGAGATGGATCGAGACTTCTTTGCTCGAGGTGCGGCGTGCTCTTAACGAAATTGGCATGGATATGGACAAAGCCTGGGGCCACGATGGAGATAACGGCACGGCTGCATCGAAGCTCAAGCTTGAGTGGGGTCTAAGAAACCAGAAAAAACTTCTGAAGAAGAAGCAGCTATTAGATCAGTGCCACGCTCAGTTGACTGGTGCTATCTACGTCATGCAAACGGCAGAACTCTGTGGGAAGCCTGGTGCTATCGCAGAAACACCCATTTTCGAGGCTCCGGTACGACCTTGGGTACCTCATGATGAGAAAGACGCGCTACGTGGACCTTATTCGAGGCAGAAGTACCGAACAAATCAGGCGAACGCCTCCGCATCAAATATTACACTGGCGTCTGAAGCTGAAAAAGACGACATCGAAAGTGAGTATCATCCACGATAGACAAAACTTCAGTCCAACTAACAACCTTTAGCCGGTAGTGTCAATTCGGTGCCCGTAGAACTGGCCGGTAGTACGCCGGCTGACTTGGAAATCGAGGAGAGGCAAAACTCACAGAGCTTCCTGAGCCCTCAGGTATCCCGCGAATTCAGTACTGAAAGCTCGACACTGTCCAGACGACCACGAGCACGCTCAGACTACTCCCGACAATCCGTCCTTCGGGAGCCAAGACCTCGCGCCTCCATCGATGTCGTTCCTTCCTCCTCGAATAATGGCGATGCAACAACAATCGAGCGCACTGACTCCACTCTGTCCACACAAGCTACGGTCAGCGTCCCCATGGTAGCGAGACGGTATCGAGCAACGTCGATAGACATCCAAAGGCATAGTGAAAAGCACAGGTCTTTGCCATCGGAGCTTCCTCATCTCAAGAGTCAGCCGTCACTTATCGATGATTTGGCTGACTATGTGATGCCTAGTGCGGCGAGTGAGAGGCTGCCGAGTAGGGAATGGCCAAACAGTCCAATAGGTTCTATTCCATCGATCTCGGTGACGTCGACCCCAACAACCGGTCATATGTTACCTGTAGTCCCCGAAACTACACCGACGACGAATGCGATGACAGACGGAGTTTCAAACGCGACCAAGACTACTGCAGCTCAGCCATCGCCCCGCCAGCTTCCTACAACTAGCGAAGGCCTGGCGCAACCACCACAACATGAAAAGGGGGATTTGGATGCGTCGTCGGTGTCTAAGGACGACTCGAGCCTGCGACGAAATAGCTTTGTCTCTGCCGAGCGTACACCGTCGCCTATGTCTCATTATGCAACATCTATACACACTTTGCGATCGCCCAGTGCTCTTGTAAACGTCACCACTTTCACCGACGACGAGCCAGTTCGTCGCCCAAGTAGCCAGCGGCCGTCGCAGCGCATGTCGAAAAGGTTGTCGCAGACGTCAAGTAGCAGATCCTTTAGCGCTACACCGTCACCCACAATTACCACGGTCGCTGAAACTGCAACAACACCTGGTACGAAAGAGGCGACTACCCTTCCGATAAATGCACCGTCTTATCCACCACCACCACCGCCCCAGATCATCGCCCCGGAAACTTCGCAACCCATAGTTGCCAGCCCAACAGAGACGCCAGAGGAGCGAGACGATGACGACGTCGTGCTCTCCGTCCTTCAGCAACGCCTTGCCAGCGCAACAGAGACGCCAGCGGAGCTAGACGATGACGACGTCGTACTCTCCGTCCTTCAGCAACGACTTCGTAGCCACAAAGTCGTCAAGACGATGGCTGAAGACTTAGTGCGACAGGCTTCCACAACGGAAGCGGCGCAACCGATAACGGATACGCAACAAGCCATACTTTCACCACCCGTTTTGCATGAGCAACCAATTCCCACACCGAAACAAGATTTGCGCGTGGAGGTACCACCCACCACCTCATCGGTCCCAGTTCAGGTAGAGATACCTCCTCCAGTTCCGTCTGTTCCAGTGCAGGCAGAAAACCTTCCAGCGCCTTCCGACGGGAGTCAGGACGGAGATGCTCCGAAGAAGCCCATGTCAGCACAGGCTAAGCGAAGAGCTGCGCACGCACGGAGGATGCAACTAGCTTTTGGTGACGATGCGACGGCTTGAAATGGTGGTTTGTGGGATGGAGGTCGGTTAGCTGTGTCATAACATAATGATAATATGTGAACCAAATTCACCTCGTTCCCAAACCGCTTCTTGGCATCAGTACACCAAGCATTCTGAGGTCTGAAGGCGCATCTCATGTTAGCATCATGTTTTCATGTTCACCAGTTGACATCACAAATCACACAGCAAGCAGAGAAACGAGGGTTAGACAGTAAGACATGGCAGTGAATCACATCTACCATCCCCTTTTCCCGGACCCTCTCAGCGTCCTCATCTCAGCCAGTCAGACACATCTACCCACAGGAAAACTCGCCGTAGGACCTCTGACCGGCCTTTCCATCATAACCCCAATCATCTTAATGCAACCAAGATGCTACGGACAGGTACCAGGAGGTAGACCTGTCTATGCGGCGTAGGGAGCAGCGGTGACGGTAACGGCACGAGCGGTAACGGTGACGGTATCGATGCGATGGGTTACCTTAGGCTCGATAAACATGGTGGTTTCCATGGTGCCGAAGGTAACGCCTGCGAAGAGGGCCATGGTGGCGCCGAGGATAGTGGAGAATTGCATTGTGGTGGTCGGGTTGGGTTGCTGGGAAGGGAGTGTTAGGTGGAGTGATGGGGTGGTAGAAAAGGGGGGGTAGTACGTTTTGTTGGTAGTGACTGGGGATGTGTTAGTTGGTTTTGCTTGAAGTGATGAAGAGGATGTAAGAAGAGCAGAGATCGTACTTTGAGTTTTTTTTATCGAAGTCGAAGATGGTAGATTGCGGTCGAAGTGTTTGCGGATGAGAGACTCTAAGAGGGGATATTCCGTGTTTTGTACTCTGACCCTGCATTTCCTCATGCATCGAGACTGATCTCAAGTGTGTTCGTGTGTGGTTTGGTATTTGGGTTGCCATCCACTCCATCCACTGGTACTACGATGGGACGCAATGTAGCCCCTCAAAATTTCCGCAACACTCAACCATCCCATACGAAAATGTACCCCTCAAATGAGAGAGATCGTAGGCATCGGAGACTCTTCAAAATGCAGCATTGTTTGGTTCCGGCCTCGGAGAAGCGGAGAGGGTGATGAGGCAGGCAGGGTCCAACCCCAGTGAAGCACCTGAAGCTGGTACTCCCCGTTCCATGGCACTATGATGCGACTGAGGGGAAGCCGATGACGGAGATGAGATAGACATTACAAATGAACAAGAGTGCCATACGTGTGGATGGTAGGTCGTAATATTCTATCGAGCATGATCGCGTACTCGCATGGTACACATTCAAGTATTGTCTCCGACCTGATATACCAACTCAAAAATGATCGATCATAGTTTTCGCCGGTCTCAATTTTCTCCGCTACATTGCACTCTCAACAATTTTGCATGGGTAATTTGGAAGAATCATGTTCGTGCAATCGGACCCTGAGCCACACTTCACCTTCTAATTTGCCCCCAGGGTCTATACCACTCTGCATATTTCGCTCCAATGCGTTCGGTGGCAGGTGATATTGCTTACGTTATCGGTAAACATACGCGACATAATGTCACCGTGCCAACAAGCCGACCGCGTCCCCACTGTACTTTGAGCAAAAGTATTGAGACACTGCAGCTGGAAAGCCTAGCTCGCGTGGTATCGCATCAACGGTGGGGAATCAACATATTGCATGAAGAGGGACAGCGCTGCTACCTCAATCGTATTGATTGTTACCTCAGAGGGTGCACTATCGCATCAGCCAGGCGATTGAGTCTGCCACTAGAACAAGAGAAGACATATTGATGATAATAATACGCACGAGGATGTGCTGCGAATCACACTATAGCGGAAACAAACCACAGGAGCCGTGGGGTAGCTCAAGAACAGAGTGAGGCCATCTTCATTTACTTCCGCTAGGATAGCGGAATCTTGTATTGAGATTGCGGGCCCAGCTGGCAAGGGCGTTGAACTCACCATATTTCATTCCTCATAGAATTGCGGATATGTTGTGACGTGGCAGAAGAACGTTTGTTGGATCTAATCGAGTATGTGATCGGAACTGTGTGTCACAGATACATCGCAAACTGCCAATCATTATATCACGATAGCGATAGTCGGAACCAGATCTGATCTCGGAGGTACCGCCACCAAAATATATCGGCTGGTCATCGGTCTCATAGATTGTGAGTGCGTTATGGGTATTGATTACAATTTCGTTCTAGTCAGAGTCGCCAAGTTAGCCAGGTGACAGAAGCCTTGCGACGGAGATGGCTTACTGTTCGGCTAAAGAGCCCCTTCCTCCACTTCCAATTCGCCGCCGAAGCGGGTCGTGTCCCTTGAGTGAGAGTCTCTGTGACCTCAGTACGGTGAGCGTGGATCTCTGCTGTGCCCCGTGTTCGATCGCATGCAATGCGTATAAATTCTGCTCGAGATTCTACGCGAGGAGGTCCGCAACGTTCATGGGCATTTCGTCGATCTGGGTAGAGTAATACACTACGAGGATTAGCGGATGTCTGAAGAAGAAGCTGAACAGTACTTACACTCAATGTCACGGAGGATGCGAACGTCATCTTGAGTGACAAAGTTGATGGCTACACCCTTGCGTCCGAATCGTCCACTTCGACCAATCCTGTGGATGTAGTTCTCACGGTTCGATGGCAGATCGTAGTTGATGACGAGCGACACTTGTTGCACGTCAATGCCACGCGCCCACACATCGGTCGAGATGAGCACGCGAGAGTTGGCCTGACGGAAGTCAGCCATAATGCTGTCTCGCTCCTTCTGGGGCATCTCTCCGTGCATGGAGGACACAGTAAAGTTGGCATCGCGCATCTTGTCCGTCAGCCAGTCAACCTTGCGGCGCGTGTTGCAGAAGATGACTGCTTGTGTGATGGTGAGTGTGTCGTAGAGATCGCACAGGGTGTCGAATTTCCACTCCTCCTTCTCGATAGCGATGAAGTATTGCTTGAGGCCCTCTAGCGTCAATTCGTCACGCTTAACCAGAATGCGCACGGGGTCCGTCATGAATTTAGTCGTCATCTCGAGCACATCGTATGGGAGGGTGGCCGAAACGACAACAACTTGGGTGGCAGGTGGGAGGTAGCGGTAGACATCGTAGATTTGCTCGCGGAAACCTCGGTTGAGGAGCTCATCGGCTTCATCGAGAACGAGCATCTTGATGTTGCGTGTGCGGAGATTGCGGCGGCGAATCATGTCGGCTACACGTCCTGGGGTTCCAGAGACAACGTGCTGACCATAGTCGAGCTTGCGGATATCCTCGCCGACGTTTGTTCCTCCGACGCAAGGATGGCACTGCACGTTCATGTAATCGCCGAGACCCATGATAACCTGCTGGATCTGGGTCGCAAGTTCGCGAGTGGGTGAGAGTACGAGTGCTATGT